AAAAAAAAAAAAAAAAGAATGTCTACCTAAAATATTAAAAATATAACACATGAAAAAAGTATCTAAAATGTGCCATAATTTTAGAAAGTGTGTGAAATCCCTATATTTTCTGAAATATTCATAAAAAATATGTCTAAAATGTATCTAAAATGTTCTTTTATAAGGATAATGTACTAAAATAGTCAACATACCTTTTTTTTACTAATTAAGATACACCACTTTTAATTTAATGTTTATACATGTAGCATACATATAAAAATATAAATAAATAAACAAATAAATAAGTAAATAAATAAATAAATAAAACAAAAACTATTTTGAAGATGATTGTTTTTTCCTCTTGAATTATTTGCATTTTTTTATTGTTTTGATATTTTTGCGATGTATTCAGCAGTAAATAAATTAACTTTTGTGATGATGGTTGACATAAAATTTGATATAATGCACACGATGACAATATTTCGTGGTTTTACTCGCATAAATTTTAAAACCAACAATTTATAGATTTAATTATTTATACATCATTTATTTAATTCAATAAAAAAAAAGTCAAAATAGCATGATTTCAAAAAAAAATTCCCTTTCACTGAACCCTCACAAAATATAGGGGCATTGTTGGAAATTTAAATCATTGGAAGGACAAATACGTCCATGAGCTAATGAAAAACCTCCAACGCCACTATCACTGACAGTCGACGACTGTGTGTCCTCGATTAGGGTTTAAGCTGCCTTCAAGCTCTTGCCCATTCGAAGGTAACCCCAATTTTGTTCGTGCATTTTGAAGTTTCCTTTTGAATTTCTCGTAGAAAATGCAATCGGCGTGCGGCAAGCTCCGGCAGGCTGCGAAGCAAACGCTCAACCATCCGAGGTTCATCGAGCTGAGAAACTTCGCGTCTTTTGAATCGAAATATAACTCTGTGCGCTCAGGTCCCCGAACAGCATTTTCTTTGGTACGATATTTTGTTTCTTCTTTCCGATGATTGCTTATCTGTTATTAATTTGTATCTTTTGGTTGAATCACTGTTTGTTAGCTTATGAAAGGTGTGAAATATTGGGATGTTTGTGAAATGTGTTGCTATGAGTAATCAATGCTGCAATCTTTAGCTTAAGAACCCTTGGAGAAGTTTCTTATATACTTATGTGTTCTCCATAAAGAAGTCAAGGTGGACAAGTGAATGAGCTTTAGGATGTCTGTGATTAGGCAGACCGAGTTCCTTGTTCTGCGTAATGAAGTTAAGGCAGACAAGTGATTGAGCTAATATGAGCTTTAGGATGTTTGAGACTGGGGTGGACTTGATTGCGTTTCTTGAATGAGTGTCAGTTTTGTTTCTTGATTTTTCAAGTTTTTGGAACTTGATATTATTTTGGGTGCCAGATGTGTCGGTACCGATTTATCATTGGATATGTTAGTGCACATTTATTTTTTGTGCTTACTATTGAAATGAACATGTAGGACGATTATTTAGATGTGTTTGTGCAGATAGATTTGTTATGCTTACTTCGGTAGCTTAAAAAGAGAGAGAGAGAGAGAGAGAGAGAGAGAGAGAGAGAGAGAGAGAGAGAGAGAGAGAGAGAGAGAGAGAAATGGAAGAGGAAAGGCTGGAAGTGAGATTATGTCCGCAGATAAATGAAGAAATAGAAAAAACTAAAAAATATCATCTTGAATTTTAATTGTTTGTCTTGCTATATATTTGATAATTTGTGCGAGAAATTGAACAATTCACATATTACATGTTGAGAGTTTCTGATGTTTTCATTTTGGTCACAATTCACATGCATGCACTGATATTAATTTCCGTCCGGATTTTATAGTGCTATTTTTTTCTCTGTTTGGTTCTTATTATAACAATATTCTCCTGTTTTAGGACAAAAACTTTGGCCCAAAAACTTTTACACCACCATCTTTTAAAAGATATGGTCTAGCTTCAATGTTGCCATCGTCTGGAGGACAAACTTTGAGTTTAGATCGGTCAGCTGCTATAGCATCTGCTTGGCCAACTAGAAACATTACAACATCAACCTCTACTTCTATTGATGCTTCTGCTTCTGCTTCTGATTCTCCTTCTCCTGATGTACCCAAGCGCATCAAATTCAAGAGGCTCGATAAAACAGCAAGACATATCATGCAGGCACAAATTTTATTTTTTACTTAACTCTTTCCGTTGCATTCTTTATCCTCAATTCCTCATGATATATTAGGACATTCTCTTTTCCTTATATGGGTTTATTTGCTTTCCGAACTACAGATAATCGATAAAGAAGCCGTTGAGGAAGTGAAAACGAACCGAGAAATACCTGATATAAGGCCTGGTTATATTGTCCAGCTGAAAGTGGTAATTGATATCCCCCCCACCCCCACTGGAAAAAAATTATTTGTATTTGTGCTTTCTCTTCTACTGAAATTGTTTTTTATTGTTTGATTGCATGATATTATTATCACAGGAAGTACCGGAGAACAAGCGACGTGTTTCAGTTATAAAAGGGATTGTTATAGCTAGACGTAATGCTGGTCTAAATACCACTTTCAGAATAAGGAGGCTTGTTGCAGGAGTTGGCATTGAGTCTCTATTCCCACTGTGAGTTCTCATTCCACTTATGCTGTGCAGTCAGTGTTATATTGTTTAAAGCCATAACTACTTTTTGTGTGTGTATATGCTCGTGTGCGCTTGCCTTATACTCTATAGTTGCACTTCCAACAAAAACTTTGGATTTTGGCGATTTCTTGAATTCTATGATATAAACAAATGAAAATGCTAAAAGGATCCATCAAATCGTGTATGATTGAGATTGTTCTGAGGTGGGATTGTTGGAAATGTTTTACCATTGGCTGCTAAACATAGTGGCTTGATTTACTTATTTAACTATTTATGTACAATTGCAAAATATACCTTAACAAACAATTATGATACTTATACTTAAAGGTTGTGTTCTCGTAACAAGTAATAGCCCACTGCGGTGCAATTTTTATATT